AAAAAATGAGAAAGCCTAAGCAAGTCTTGATGAAGGTCTGTGTAGGTTTTTTATGATATATAAAGGATGAGACATAAATAATATACACATAATCTTAAAATTTCTAGTCATAGTATAGTCAACTGGTTTAAGGAACAACATATATATCTAGTGAAGGTTTATCTGAGAATATTTGTTTTTTTTACACAAGCCTTATCTATAAAGCATATTATAATTAAAAGTATCAGACTGGTGGAACTAACCTCATTGGATGTTTAACAGCTATACTTTGAGGCCTATACTAATGTGGTCAGAGGGACTTAAAGGACAGTTTTTGCCCCTTGCCCTCCAAGGTTGTCTAAGTTCCAGGGGATTATGGAACATCTCTCAAAATGTCCTGTAACTGTGGTGAGTCACCTGTCCTCTTGTTCAGGGAGGACATGAAGACCCCACGAGATGGACTTGAACCAGTGTCCAGTCTACAAAGAGGAGGGTTAACTCAGAGGAAACATCTTATGCTTCCAAGTAAAGCCAGACATGGTCGAGCAGGACCTTTGACTTATCTTCACATTGATAGAATTGGTAAAAGAAAGAAGCCAGGAGATCCTCCCAAACCCATGTGACCCCTGAGGAACAGATCCTCAAATGACCTTAAGTGTAAAAGTAAATTGATTTATTTGGGCCAACTGTAATGGTCTTAAACATTCAAAAGCAAAGTATAACCAAAGAGTAATGTCATCAGTATATTTCTTTAATAGTTCAAGGGATTACACTTCCCAGATATTAGGCTTAAGTCTATATAAAAAGTTTTTTAGACAATTATTTCTCATTGTTGATTTTGTTCTTAACCAGAAAGTGCTGCTCAGATGTAAGACTTCAAATCTTGGTCTCCAATATTGTAGTGTCCACCTGAGGCTAAGGGAGACAACCAGCTATTGTTCTAAAATGATGGATAAATTTGTTTTCTCCCCCTATCTAGAAGCCTTTGAGAGGGAACTGACACTGATTCTCATCACTCCAACAGCTATCAGAATACCTGAAAGCAAACTCTGAATCCATCACTCTAGAGTCCAGCCTTGGAAGACAAAAGAAAAATGAGGAGGAACCCAACAGAGAGATGCTTTTGGAAGCCCTTGTCAAGAAATTCCAATGGACTCTCATATGAACATTTGAAATTTGCCACATTCTGACCTTTTTCTAGTTCCCTGTCTAGAACTTATAATGCTAATTACTCTTGCCTTTATTTCTCCTTCACATCTCCTATTCATTATTCAAGGACTTTCTTTTCCCCCTAGAGATAAGAGGTATGCCTCACCCTGCATCTCTATTCAGCATGGAAGAAGCCAGAGCAGTCTGTGTCCCAATTCCCTATTGGCAATTTGGGTGACCTCTTCAGAGGATGGTGTGATAAGAATAGGAAGTAGGAATTGGCTAGGCAGTTAGGGTAAAAGACAGTTTCTTGGCTAAAAGACAAAATGTCCTTGGGCCTCTTAGCAACATACACTGTACAAAGGCCAAAAACGTAGAAAGTATTTGGGAGCTTGTATCTAATCCTTAAAAGATATTAGGATTACTTCTTCAGAGGGGAGAACGTTAGAGTAGCCCAAAGCCCCATAAAAAAAAAGAAATAAACCAAAGAAGAAGAAAGAGTACATGAAGTTATCAGAAAAAAGTGATGGGGAGATATGGAAGGAGTCAGAGGGGAGGGAATGGGCATGGATTCGATCAAAACACCTTATATACATGTATGAAATTCTGAATAAATTATTTATATAAAAATAAATAAATAAATAAAAAGAGATTAGGGAAAGTCATTCATCCCTTATTCCTCTTCCCCTCTTTCAAGGCATGGCCTTGCTATGGAGCCTTAGCTGACCTGGAACGTGCTATATAAAGCAGGCTAGCATAAAACTTGTAGTGATTCTCTTGCCTCTGCTCCTGAGTGCCAGGAGCTGTAGGCATGCACCAAACACCATGCCTGGTGATATTTTCCTTTATATAACTGTATCAACTAACAAGCAAAAAAAGGAGGATAGAATGAAGAGTGTCTTCACAATCGTAATGAAGGAATGGCTCATCAATGACAGCTGACAGATGAAATGTCATGGACCTATCAGAAGAACACAAAACCATCTATAAAAATGTAGCCCACAGGAGCTATGGATGTAGATAAACTGGTAGAGTGACTGCCCAGCATGCATGGACCCTGGGTTAGATGCCCAGCACTGCATCAACCAGGCCTTGCAGCATTTGGGAAGATCAGAAGTTCAAAGTTAAACTTGGCAAATTTGAGACAAGCCAGGAATACATGAGGACCAAATCTCAAAATGAAAGAAAAAATGAGTACAACATTCATATAAACACTCTGGGTTTGGTTCCTAGCATCCACATGGCACCACCACGCCTGGCTATATTGTTTTCTTGCTAATAAACTTCAACTCCAACTCTGTTTCTTTAAAAAAAAAAAAGGACTGGGGTGGTATTCCTCATGGGTGTCCACAACAATTCCCCATCTATGTAGACTGGTCTCTGAACCATCTATTCTAAGAACTCCATCCCTTCAGTAATCTCTCCTTTCCTGGGGGCCATCAAGATGAGGTGTGGTCTGCAGAGAAAGGCCTATTGTAAGGGGGCGGGGCTGAACCTCACCACTACTGGCCAACAGCTAAGACTAAAGACCCTATGCGAGTGCTTCAGGTACAGAGACTGCAGGTTTTTGCTAGTGCATAGCTGCTGGTGTTCAAGGAGAGTAAAGATAGTAGGAAGGATGCAAGGACTCCCAACTGCACTTGAAGAAGCTAAGGCATGCCTGACCAACTCCATGGGGTTTTTAATGAGCTCCAGAAATGGAGCACTATTCCTAGACTGGAGAGTCAGGTAACTTTCTTGAACACTGAAAGTCTTAAGATTTCAAACCAGTCCCCCAAATTCCTATTCAGAATTATATGTCTATAATTCCTTACCTTCCTTTATACAAGATTTATTTTCACCTACATATATCCCCCCAAAGTATCAAGAATAAATTGTTGATATGACTTATGTTGAATGAAAGAACAGAGAACTGACTTCTAAAGGCTGCCATGTTAAAAGTTTGAAATGTTCACAAGGTACAGACTCATTTTTGGACAGTGTTACAGTGACACTCCTGAAGGGAGGAACACACAGTATTTGTTAGATTGAAGTCAAATGGATTCAGATATGGAGCTGTACTCATTTCTTGGAAGGACAAATCCCTCTTGAATCTTCAGAAAATGAAAATAAGGCCAGGGACATCATCACATTTTTCAAGGGAAGGAGGTGCGCTGCATTTGGCAGTGAGTATAATTTTGTAGGTGGGAGGGGCTACATTCTATTTAAAAGACACTCTACTCTGGGAAACTACTTAAAGAGTTTAGGGGTGGAAACTGGGTGAATATCTACTCAGGACTCACAAAGGAGCTAATGCATTATTAAAGCTAATGGGCCCCTACAAGGAAAGTTAATGGATATTAAGTTTGCTTAAATGAATTACATATTAACAAAGTCACAAGAAATCTACTATCTGCTGATTTAGATAATATCAGATCATTTCTGTTTTCCCATTATAGGGGAATTACACCACAATAGTTTTAGTGATATGAAAATTATAAGCATGATGCTCATAATGAAGCTATATAATGAAGTAGAAGAAACGATTAACAAGAAAAACCTGTATTCTATAACATTAAACTGAGGCATGTACACAGGGTCGTAAGAGACTGGGGCAGGATGGTCTCTTATAAGCAATAGTTTACAACTTTCTCTACCACTTGTTTTTCCCAGATGATTTAAACACCTGATAAGTTTATCTGTTGAATAATGGCTCAAAGGAATATTCAGACTCTTAGAACCTGTGACTGTGGCCTTTAGAAAAAGAGTTTTTATGCAAATATAATTACAAACTTAAAGATCTCAAGATGTGATTATTCTAGATGATCTGGGCAGGCTAAATTCAATGGAAGTGTCCATATATAATATACTCAGAGAATAAACAGCCATCGGAAGGAGGGAGATGGAGGAGCTATGAAAATGCAATTCCTTAGGGACCACCCCGAGCCCTTGCCCTCGAAGAAACAAGGAAGGGTCCTCCCCTAGGGCCTGTGGAGGGAGTGAGGTCCAATTTAGACTTGATTTTGGTCTTTCGGCCTCCAATATTGTGAGAGAATTAACTTTTGTGGTTTTAAGCCATGTTGGTAGTGTATCACTTGTTACAGTGGCCCTAGGACACTTAACACAAAGACCCCCAGCGTTGGTAAAGCCCCTCCTCCATCACATCCCTGATCACTGTCCTTCTACCCACTCACCTATTTATTCCATTGTCCCCTGGAGTTTTCAGAGGCACACTCCACAAAGCCTTTTGATGACAATGAGAGAAGATAACAACTTGGCTATAACCTTGGCACAGAATGGTTTCATATAGAAACCAGATGCTTTTTCCCTCTGAAGTGGGAAGGTCTGGAGGAGAAGTCAGGGAAAACAAAAGGGGGCAGCCTTACTCATTACAGTGTAGCCTCTTGGCATCAGGACATGGCATCCCGGCCAGAGTTCAATTTTCAGCTCACTGTTATCATTTATGCTAATAGAAAAGAACATGTACTTCAGAACAAAATGGTATTATATGGGAATAAAATGCTCCCTACATAAAAATATAGTTCCTATGATGGGATTACAAAGGGAAGGAGAACCCCCCTGCCCAGATTTATCAAGGATGGGGAATGACAACAGTCTATACTGAAAGAAGGTAATCTTAAGTCATATGTTAAAGCAGACAGGAATCATTTTAGTTTCATACTTGAGATAGATGTACACTCATGTTTACTGGTAGTTTGTAATACAACAGTATTTCAGTAAAGTAATCTTCGATTATTTTTCAACCAAGACAACAGAAAAAAAAAAACCAAAAACCTATGCTATATAAAATGTATCCTTCCAAAGAATGACTTCTGAAGAGTTTTCAAGCCACTGCCACACTACACCTCAAAACAAGATGCCCAGCTACTCACATTGCACTTCTAGGTAGCGCTGGGTCTGCAGGTTTCCAGTGACCGCCGGGTGCTCCACCTGACAGATCACTGGGACCCCATCGTCCTCTTTGTGCACCTTCAACATCAGCTGACTGGTCACAGTGTACATGTCTGACCACTCCTCCACCTCCGATTTGCCTGCAAGAGAGAAAATGTATGAAGAGTCTCTTCCTTCTCCCCAACAGTGCTATTTTAGCAAATATGATAGAAGTCCTTTGGACAGAGAAATCTATGGATAGGTGCTTGGTGACTGTTTCCCTTAGTTTCCTACTTTTGGACCTTGTATAATAGTATTTAAAAGATATATCTGGGGCTAGAGAGATGGCTTAGCAGTTAAGAACACTGGTTGTTCTTGCAGAAGACCCAGGTTCGAATCCTAGCACCCACATGGCAGCTAACAACTGTCCGTAACTCTGGTTCCAGGGGATCGGACAGCCTCATCTGTCCTCCGCAGGCATTGCACAAAATGGGTGCACTTACCTACATGCAGGCAATACACTCAAACACATAAAATAAAAATAATAAATAAAATATTTAAAAGATATATTCCAACCCTAAATAACACACACTATTTTTATTGAAATGTATTACATATCTTTCTTCTTTCTTGGACCCTCTTGCCAAGTCAGCTGAAAGTTCAACCATTTTTACATCTGGCTGTTTGAGATATTCAGGAGGAAGAAGAGAAAAAGAGCTTTTCACCCTACAACCATCTGAACTTGAAATATCTACAAGGCTGTCATGCTGTTTAAAAATTCCAGGACAGCATCCAAATCCCTAAAGTAATTCAATCAGCAGCAGAGATATAAACAACCCCTTTGCCTACCCCCATCATCAACAATTAAGAGGGAAAGTAACTAAATGGATTTACATAATTGAAATTGTAATTGAAATGTTTAAACTCTGAGACTTCTAGAAGACCACAGAAAAGCAGGGGCAGTGGGCTAGAGCAAAGCAAGATATAGGGCTTTGGGCCAAATGGGAGACACGTCCAAGAACACCCAGTAAAGGAAGGAGGAGGCTTCCGGAGGGAATGAATAGGCCCAGGCAGTCCCTTCCTGAACCCAACACTCCCAGGAACATGGCACACCATTAACTTTCTTTGAATGTTTTGTACTTATCGGTACACATTTAATGGCTCAGTTCACTTAGACAGAAAAGCAGAGGGGAAATGAGAAACTCCTTCCTTCTAAAACCATACCTAGGAAATAGGAGATTAAAACAGAAAAAGCTCTTGGAAACTTAAACTGTTCTCTATAGATCTCTCTGTTTCTGGAACTAGATTTCTATATGACCTTTCTAAAACGGCTTATTCCTTTCTACCTTGTGCTATTTATTTATTTAACGAGTACACACAACACTTACTCTGGTTCCAGTGCTACCTTTTAATACTTTGTAGAAATTCACTCATTTCATTTTCATAAGAATACCATATTATAATGCCATTGTTGTTATTTCCTATTTTAGAGGAAACTGAGGCACAGAGCTAGTATTTCTGTTAAATATCTAGAGGTCAGCTCCTAGTCCTTTGTTCAAGCACTACTTGCAGGGCCACCTTAAAGGGAAAGGAATCCAAACGCCTACAGACATGAGAGAACGGTCAAATAAGGGTGAGGTTGTATCCCTTATTGAATGCAACTGCAAAGGTGTCAAGTGTTTGTGGGGCCAGGAATCAAACAGGCATGGCCTAATATTGAAGGAGAGTCACTGAGAGTACAGCTAAAGGGGCTCCTGGAGAGCCACTGCAAGTCACATACTTTGCAAAATAAATTGGTGAAATTAGGCAACAGAGTAACAGTGTTCCCAAGCAAAGCAGACTCTGCAAATTCATAAATAACATGAAGCTCTTGATCCACAATGGCACTACTTCTTATAGGAAGCACAATCTCAACAGCTGATAGTGTAATTCATGTCAAAATGCATGCTATGAAAATCTGAGGTTCTGGCCCACAGAGTCGCTACAAAAGACAAGATAAACACAGTGGGAGTTGAGGTGCAGATAGAGACCGCCTCAGTCCAGGGCATATCCCCAGTAACAGTTCTTCTTGGTCTGAAAAGTTCAAGTTTATAGGTTTGGTTCATCATGAGCTCTTAAACCAAAGTGTGAGAGCATGAATTAAAACAATGAAAGCTGTGCCACTCTGTCCTCAGATGTTTTCAGTAATTGATTATAAACCATAACTGAATGAATACTTTTGTTTCAAAGTCATTTGCTTTGCATTTGCCTGTAATTTTTACCAAGGTCTACTTGCTAGAACCCAGTGCCAGCTAACTATTTCACTGCTAGGCAGTCCACATCGTACCTTTGAGCTCCTTGTTCCCTTTGAACCATCTGATGGTCGTGGCTGGCTTGCTGGCCATGGCAGTGCAGTTCACTTCAATCTCCTCACCTTCAACTGCTGTGTCTTTCTGGATATCGATCATCAGGTTACGTGGAGGGACTACAAATTAAACACATGTGTTTTATAACTATGGGATACATTTCAGGACATATTCTTCCATTCACTGGAAATCAGCATGACTGATGGAACATTAGACAATGGGCACTCCTGAATAGAATAATATCCTGATGAGAAAATAGCCACAGTTAGAGCAAAAAGAACTGGAAAAGCATCATCAAGTAAACTGAATTATGCAAAAATCCGATAATCTGGAGTTTCTTCCCTAAATTTATCCTACACAAAGACCAGTCTCCAAATCTTAAATTATTACAGACTGGGATGCAACAATACAGAATTAGGCATTAGAAAAACTAATGAAGAAACAGTTATGAGGAGGAGGACATGCTATTGAAATTAATGACCTTACCCAGAAGCCCTGAAAGCAGTAATTCTCCTTGAACTCAACCTTGGGTTTCAATCTTCATATGCAATACTTCAAAGTCTACTAACAAAGATAGAATGCTCAGGATCCTTTAGAAGAACCACTCACCACAAACACACACAGAAAAATTAGGCCTCAGAGTCAGTTCCATTGATCAAACCAATTCATAGAAATCCAAGTACAACTGCATCTAGTAATGGATGGCATATCATTAAAGCGAAGGTGTGGCAACACAGGAAATGCCAATTAGCTTGCAGCCCTTTTCTCCATTCCTAATTCCAGTGCTGCAGTTTGATAGAAACTCTTAACTGCTTGAAAGTATACTTAGTTATCAAAATTAAAGCCAGTATTCTATAAGTGTATTAAACATCTATGTAATGAAATAGTCAAAATAAAATATTTGGGGGCTGCACCATGGGGTGGCAATGATGACAAAAGTATGTTTTCTTAATGAAGCTGAGTTGAGTGAGACTTCATATAATGTGCAGCCCTACCTCAAGACTGAATCTCCTGAAATAAAAATCAGTAAGAATACCGAATTCAGCAGTGTGGATCTAAGAATATGAGCCCTGACCACCATGAATAAGCAAAGACAGCTCTGAGTCTTATGATTAATAAGTTTTTCAACTCAAGAGAAACAAGAAATTAAATATGTATAAATATGCCATCCTGATAAGTTGAATAATACATCTCTGATACCGCTTCAATAAATTATGGGATTAAACCACGTATTTGGGATTTCCAACTGTTCTAGTCCAATGTGAAAATTCTGCCCACAGGAAGACTTTTATACTGAATTGAGCAATTGAAAATTCTTATAGAGAATGATGAAAGAGGAAAAGTAAAAAGATTTGTTGCATATGTCTCTCAACAAGATGGTGCACTGTGATGGCAGGGAGGGGTGTAACCACTCAGGCAAAAGCACTCCTCTTTATTCCCAATGTACCAGGAAATCAAACGTATTTGCTCCATCAGATAGGTTGCTAATCCAATGCGGCCCAAATGAGTACTTAAACATGGCAAAGAACTATTCTGCTTACATTTCAAAAAAAGAAATAAGCAAAAAGAGACAAGATCCAATTTAGAGGTGCATATCTGCTGGCATTTTAGGAGACACAGAAAGGTGGTAACAAAGGAGTGGGATGACTTTGGCTAGCTATGTCCTTTACATAGTTTATTCATGCTAGGTGACAGTCAGGTGGGTTACAAATTTCCAACCCCTAGACCTCAATAGTGCATGGGAAATACATAAAGAGGAGATATTTAGGATCAGCAAATTCTACTCTACTCTGAGTGCAGGACAATAGGAGTACTGAAAGAGAAAATGCTATATTGTTTGATCAAATGTCAGTGGAAGAACTGTCTAAGCCTACAGAAAATAAGTGCTTGGTAAGTGAAGAGGGACAGGACAACACAGCAAAAGATAAACCACAGGAAAAAAACAGAGGACTTTTCTCACAAGTAAGTCAAGGGATGAAAGGGAATGGACGCTTCTTCCAAGGTCCATACAGAAATGAAATTTGCGATGAAAATGGCTTTTGATATTGATTGATACATGTAATGGCTTCCAATGAGAACTCCAATTATTAGAGTCATTGATGGAATACTTTGATAAGGATATGAGAGGGCAAACTGCTAAAGTCACTGGCAATCCTGGAAATCCCTCAGAATGAAGGAACCCTACTTCATGACTCTGGGAGAAACACCTTGATGGGCTCTCAAAACCTAGGAATCTTCTCCATGGCACAGATTCCAGCGTTTTGAGTCTGTATCATAGATGGCTGTCAAGTTTCAAATGTAGTCTGTTAGATAGCTGCTTTCTGTATTCCCAGGTATTGTGCCTTCGTTCTTCATTTTTTATGGTGGGCCTGAAGACACACTGAGACTCCCCACCCTGGGCCTCTCCTGAACCTACTCATTTCCTTCTGTGGAAGTTTTCTTTGTGGTTAGTGAATATCCAAGTAAAATAACTTAAAGGGCAGTTACCAATGGTATCTCTTGGTGGAAAGTCTTTATTCCCTATATTTGGTCATAAAGATGGGGTGACACTCCCTCTACATTATCAAAAATGTTTGCTAATTCAAAGTAAGGAAATCAAAAGGGACAGGTGTAGAGGAGGACAGAGAGAAACCCATGAATGTCTCCTCCAGGTTTTGTCTTTCTACTTCTCTGACTTATTTATTTTTTATGGGGCTTTTGGCCAGTCTAACATTCCCCCCTCTGAAGAGGTAACCCTAAAATCTTTTAAGAATTAGATAAAAGCTCCCAAATACTTTCAACATTTTTGGCCTTTGGAACGGAGTATGTTGCTAAGAGGCCCAAGGACATTGTGAGTTTTAGCCAAGAAACTGGCTATTTTTCTTTGGGGTCTTTTTAGCCTAACTGCCTAGCCAATTCCTATTCTTATCACACCATTCTCTGAAAAGGTTACCCAAATTGCCAATAGGGAATTGGGACATAGGGTAAGGCAAATGGGGTACTCCTTCAGTGGGTCTTGACAGTCATTTTTTAATGCTATTAACATGATTTTTCTTGCCCCCCACCATATAGAAACCATCATTTCGTTTAAAATAGAAATGTACATGGGGGAGTCTACATCTCTTGAACTTTTTAAGAGTAAGAAAGCTTTAGAAAATATAAATGAATCAATTTAAATCCGCTTTTCAGAAAATAGAGGGTTGGACAAACTATTCTGGCTTATTAATCCTATCCCCTTTTTCTTTCAATTTCATATTGACTTCATAATGTCTACTCTGATACAAAAGGGTTATAAAAGTATAAGAACCCATTTATAAGAAAAATGAATTAAAATGGCTGCTAATGGGAGAACATACTTATACATGGTCCACTAAACAGTCATAGACTTCCTGTATCTATTAATAGAAATAACTACAGATCTATCTAAGAAGGTGCATGCAGAGGAAAACCTGAATGAAATCACACAGGGAAGGACGAGAAAAGAGCCCTGAAATGTCAAGGTTCTTCTTAGCTAACCTCAAGCCCATAAGAGTGCTAATTATAAACATTACGCCTACAACATTTAAAAAAAATTCAGCAATATCAAGATGAGTCACATTAATTACCACAAAAGAGGAGTCTTAAAGCTGATCAGTATGTGGAATCTCACTCTAAGATCCTTTAAAATAATTAGGTCCTCCTGTTCCTGGAATCTTTAAGAGTGAACGCTAATCTTAGAAGGACAGAACTGTAATAATATTAGCTACTATTATCAGTAACTACATTAATCTCAGCGCACTGTATTTTTTCTTGTTCATCTCTTCTCATGAACAGACTATAAAGAGTCCTACACTGTGTGCTTGGATAAGGACACAATCTCGTCACTTGTGGAAGGAGTGAATGAATAGTTTAAAAGACACCTGAATACACACAAACTATCAAAGAACAGTTTCAGTCTTTACACAGACAAGATCTAAACATAATGGTAAGTATAGCATAGCACAGAAACATTAACAAATGCCATCACTTCATGTCATAATTATGCCAGAATTTCTGCTGAATGCACTAAATAACAGACATATGCACTGAAGTGTGCGTCATCAACCTATTAGCTGAATAAGTACATATGGAATCCTTTGCAGAAAACCATAGATGGCAATAGAGATGCTAATATATCATTCTCCATTCATTATAATATCAAAAAACTCTAAACCTTAGGAGGAAGGCTTGAATGTGTATCAGTGGAAATTGTCAGATTTCCAAATATGAAACACTCTAACACAGATGACACCAATTTTACTCTGTCAAGGAATCCTAGAGTAAATTCAATGGAAAGAATATTAAATGAATGCATAATATCTACAGAAAGAAGATCTACTAGTATGACTCAAGTATATATAAGTTAATGCTTCTGTAAAAATACAAGCAGGAGTCTATTACTTCTAGAATAATGAAACCTCCAAAAGGATCACAGGCATACTGCTTCTCAGAAATCTAAGTGCCGGTATGTTGGCTCCCAAGCAGAAGGTGAATACATATTCAAATTTGTACAATTTGGTGACTCTGAGATTAATGTACCAGACACCAATACATGACAGGTAGTAGTGTTAGCCAGTGGTCCAAAAGACATATTCCTGAAATCAAAAAATGGGCACCTTCAGGGAAAAAAGCCTCCTAAAATAATAGCACTTGGGGTTTAACTGAAATAGCCTTTATGATGAGACACAATGTCTGTCAGGCAGATCAGGAAGGTCTAGAGTATATGTGTGTGTGTGTGTGTGTGTGTGTGTGTGTGTGTGAGAGAGAGAGAGAGAGAGAGAGAGAGAGAGAGAGAGAGAGAGAATGTGTATCTGTGTGTAGGAGCATGTGTACAACAAGTGCATATGCACATGTATATACATTCTTATGGAGGCCAGAACATAACCTTGAGTGCTGTTCCTCAGGCCCCAGTCACCTTGTTTTTTTGAGACACAGTGTCTCACTGGCTTGGGGCTCTCCATGTGGACTGGGCTCGTCAGCCAGCAACATCTGCCTCCCTTCCTGATGTTCGGATTATAAGCCTGTGCCACCATACCCAGTTTTTTATGTGGGTTCAGGGATTGAACTGAGGTCCTTTTACCAACAAGTGAGCTATCTCCTTGGGCCCTTAGACACTTAATTCTTATTGAGTGCTTGGTAACCTGGGCAGGACAACTAATATCTGTTAATACTTTTTTTTAAAATATGAAATTAAGATATCAGTTCCAAAAGACACATGTAGTAAACAAAATTCTGAAAATGCAAAATGCCATAGCTGCTATCACTCTTAGGAAGATATTGCAAATGGTGGCAGCTCAAAGCAGAGGTGGGCAGTCTGAACTCTATGCAGCTGATAGCTAACCACAGCAAGCAAACTGTTTCCACAGACTATAGACAAGCATGGGAATCAGACTTGCAGCAGACAGACAGAAAACTTCAAATGAGGGCTGGTGAATCTGGCATATCTGTAAAACACCAGCAAAACTTTCCATGTAGGTCTCATGCAGATTAAAGTTATGAACTAATAAATATACATGCCTGCAAGCCATTGACCACCAGACACAGACGACATTAGAAGCTGTGTGGCCAAACTTTAAAGCTGACTTTCTAAAAGCACAATCCTTCTTATCAAGCGCATATATGCAGGCTTTGGGCTCATGGCTTAGTTTAATGAATTAAAAATATTTTCCCTTTAACAGCTGTGTTTAAATAAAGTAATGAGGCAGCAGCTCAATATGTACATCCATAAATACATATATGTGCACACACACCCAGCGAAAATGTCCTTCATATTTATCTTTCCTCTTTAATCTTCATATCATTACACCGAAAAGCTGCAGTCTGTCGCCTCAAATAGACTTTGATTCATCATCTTCCTGAAGGTGTAAATCAGAGATTGTGCCTCATGCTAGTGTTATGTCCTTGAAAATTCAGTTTCAAAACTCCAGATCAGCTACTTTGTGCACTGAAGTATGTTTGTCTAAAAGGTGATGAATTCAGACTACCTTTGGCATAGAAATATCTGCTGACTATATCAAAACATAACTCATTACCTTGGCCACTGGGATTTTGGTGAAAACCACAATCTGGTGATCATAAATGAAGACAATGTATACCTTCCAGCCTATTAACAACTCTTTGCTAGTTTCCAGTTAAGCAGCCCTCAATTCTCTTATTCCCCATGGCTGCATTTGATGGTAAAGTATATGTCCAGGGGTATGACTTTTTGTAGCATGATCTGGGTACCAGCAATAAAACAGGGAAATAAAGTCAAGAAAGGAGATCTACCACATTCAAATGAGCATGCCATTCAGAAGGGGACAGCGTTACGGGATCTCTGAGCCCTGCCCTGGGTGCAGATGAGGGAGCCTATCTTCCTTTCTCTGCACAGAGGGGGAAAAAACTCCTGGTAGTTAGAAGCAATGGCAATTCATGTGGTGACTGATTCATTTGAGGGCTCTAAATTCTCTTGATCTTTGCTTCTGAGACTCGACGGTTGAAACCTAAGAGCAGGTGGATTCTATAAAGACGGCTGACTGCCATTCCTTAAAGCAGTTGGTAAAACAGCCTGTTTTTAAAATTCAGCAAGATGGGTGGTGATTCTCCCTAAAATGAGTTTGAACAGTGAGATCCACATTAACCTCTTCCTTGCTGCAGGAAGCCACATGATAGTATGGGGCACCCCCACTTACTCCCCAGGACTAACACCAGGTGCATTGCTTACCCAAGACTGTGATGGTGGTGTAACTTTCCTGTGGGGGGTCAGTGTAGAGCTGGCAGAAGTATCTCCCTTCATCCGAAATTGAGACATTAGTCAGTGACACTTTGAGTTCACTGCTAGAAAAATTCAGCAACTGAAACCTGCTGTCCTTCAAAGCTGTGAAACAAAACAGTTAGTGACTGTGTGCAAAATGACAATCTATTTTCCTTAACTAGGCAGGAAAACAAAAATCAGATGTTAGAAAAGCAGCTATAGAGTAGAAAACTTAAGTCCTTCTGCCTGTAGCTGTTTGGCACTATTTTAGTCTTCTACACAGTTACATACAGAGAAATAACCTAGCAACCCATTAAAAGAAAGTCTACGCATCTGGGTGGGATATTTGAGCATGCACACATATGGGTGGAACATGTTATGTACACACACAAATGCATGCAACACCCCAGTGGCACAGTTCCAAGTACTGTCAACACTTAACTCCTAGATTGTTTCAGATTTCCTGTCAGAAACAAAGTGAAAACGAGAAGGAAGGGCAGGTCCTGAGTGCCTTGGTGGAGTGCCAGCCCCTCTCAGCTCTTGGGCACCAGAGGCTCAAGAACAAAGGCCTACAGAATTTTTAAATGTCTCTGAAAAATCTAAAACCTTAAAAAAATAGTGGGTCAAAATTAAAAATTCATTCATAGTAATGCCAAAGCAAAATGTAAAAAAAAAAAAAATCATTTAAAAAATGTTTTAACAAAACAATCCCATTTAACTTGAATGCATCTGAATTTACTGGACATGATTAGAGATGAGGCTGCCCAACACATATATACTCTAGAGGCCTCAGCTGGATGCACAGTTTTCCAGCTAGGCCTAGTTTAATTTTATGGTAGGATACTGATCAGACCCCAAAGAAGAATCAGAATCACCTAAAACATCGTATGTGGGCTTCTTATTTATTCCATAAGTTCTTTTTCAAAGTCCTATTAATTTTAGCAAAGGCTGGATTAGACCAGCATGCATGTGAAGGTCAGATGACTTCGTGGAGTTGGAGTTGATCTCTCATTACTTTCAGGTTGTTAGGCTTGCTGCAAGTGCTTTTACCCACTGAGCCACCTTGCCAGCCCTTCTTTAGTCCCATTAAATGTTCCTTAGTTTATCAACTCTTTCCACAGGTCATGAATGGCCCAAAATATTGGCACAGACAGGCAGGAAGCAGCCAAAAACAAGCATACTGGATTTTTGCTTCAGTTAGGTTCCAATACTCTCAATTATTCTGCGAAGACTTGATTCTTGTTCTTGCCAAGCCATAATCCCCATATAAGCCACTGGCGTCATATACAATTCAGTTTTAGAGACTGTTTTTTTGTTAAAGTGCATTTGGATACATTTCAGCATATGGCTACCTCTGTATGGCAGGTTATGGCAAGAGATCTGGTTCTGTCATTACAGGTACAGACTGCCTTGAATACTCCAATCTTTAACCCAGAGTCCCTATCAGAATGCTATATTTTCCTTGCTTTATGCTATTTGAGTTGTTTGTGTCTGCTAAGTATTTGGGACTCAATTGCAATTCACCTTGAATTACTAGAATCAATTCCTATTGCAAAGTAAGACTACCTTACTTTTAAAGGGGACCATTCAAGGTTTCTATTAAGTAGAAGATTATGATTGCCCGTCTCTTCTAAAGAACTGACTAAACTTTAAGCATCTAATATTAAATTTAAAAAGGTGGCCTTGGCAATCTCTTTATCAAGACAACATGGGGTAGGGAAAGTTGCTGCCTAATATGGTAGAGAAGGAAACTTACGCCTGAAGTCCCTGAAATAAATGGTCTGCCTGTTGGGATTCAGTAGTTGAATCACGGAGTCGTCACTCTTATTGACTTGGCAGCTGATGGTTGCAACTTCTCCCTCGATCACTGTCACGTCTTTAGTAAACAAATTCTGTCCATCACCTTTAAAAAAAAAAGGGAGAAAAGGTCAGGTGAAACTTCCATCATTAAAAATTTAGTCAATGAGGCCAATTAAAACAAAAAGAAAGGAGAACTGGATTACAAAATCAACATAAGTAATACCATTTGGCATGGCTTTAAATACTGTTCTCCATAGTTCACAAAGCGACTTTCTCAATGGGATAAAATACAACTAAGCCCGGAATTGACATGGTTCAAAGTTCCAGATGCCAAGGTCCCAAACTCCAGTATTGCACTGTCAAGTGTTATGCTGAAGTGGTTCCCAAAGTGTCAGAGTCCTGGCTGCTGAGAGTAGGAGTTCCGTTCCTCAAAGATGGAAGGTATGGTGAGCTCTAGACCACACCCTCTGGAGCCAAGCTAAATTCAGAAGTCACTTAATGGAAGGAGGTGGGCTCAATAACGTCCTTTCTAGTAAGCAGATGCTGATGTTCTGATTGAACGTACAGGCAGGTCATTTTGTCGTGTGTGGGAGTGAGGAAAAGAACTGGGTATGACTCTTTGGGACCTCAATAAAATCCAGAGAAGGCCTACAGTTGAGTCAGTGATTCAGCTCTCAAAAGTCCACACCTTCCGTGACTCACCCAAAGCCCCAGGCAGTCCAACCCACAGCCCTCTCATAAGCATAGCCCTTCAGCTGGTGAAAAGTCTTTCAGAACTTGTCAAAATCTCAGAGTTTTCAGACCTACTGATTCAAGGCTTATTTCTAGATTTGCTCTAGTTTGCTGCTTCAAGATTTGTGCCAGCAGCCAAGGCGCCTCATAAATGTCTTACATGGTCCACAGCACAAGGCAGGAGGAGGGGAGAGTTTAATTTAGACGCAGAAGATAAACACTTGTGGAGTATTCAATTCTGAGGCTGGAAAAACAGTCTAAGGAAATCTGTGACACTGTCCTAGCCTTTCACAAACTGCAAGGTGAGCAAAACACACACCTAATCCCCACTTCCCAAACAAAAAGTGTGATACAGGCAGCAGATAGCAGTCATTCAGGAATGAGGGAGACAGACTGCTCATTAGCTGTGTGATCTCAGGATATTTATTTAACATTCCTAAGCCAGTTTCCCATTCATAAAATGGGGGCAGTAATTAAAGGCTATCTCAGAGTTGTTATACATGCAAAACATTTAACACTGTTTAGTTCCTCATAAAACAAAATACATCATCACCACCATCACCATCAGCTGCAGTGATGGTGCATCATCATTGTTACATCACCATCATTTCTCTGGACATCAAGTCCCAACACTTGCTATTATCATCCTGAGGGGGTAGTAAGGATGTAAGAACGCATGCTCATGGTTCCCACTCTCCTGGACCTATGTGGCTGGCATCAGTTTGGGGTGGCTTATTCATTCCTTGGAGAAATGTCATATCAAGAAGCAAAGGTCAAAGATAAAAACACATTTTTTAAAAAATTAAGGCAGCATAAATAAAGACGCAATTAGAATAAATGAAGGATTTCCACCCACTGTCCTATCTCTTTTGCAGGGTCCTCTTTTGGGCAGGATACAGTGGGGAAGTGCAAGTAAGCCAAATCCACGTTGAAACAGACGAGCCCCTGACAGAGGGTTAGAAGGGAAGAAACCAGAAGGATATAGGAAAAAAATTATTAAGAGTCCAGATAAACAAAACTTCTTGTGCCTGAGAAGCAAACCAAAAATGAAACTGGATCTTGAGCTCTATGATCCAGGAAATTAACCCCCTGTGTGAGGATGATGACGTGGCTGACAGTGAGTGAGCACTGTAAATTTTCCCTGTATGATCCAGAGTGGAAACTTAGAGGGGCTGAGCAGGGTCACAGAGTAACAACAAAGAGCAAAAGGGGATCAGAATTTTTTTTTTTTTTTTTTTTTTAAAAAAAAAAAAAAAAAAAAAAAAAAAAAAAAAAAAAGGAGAGATGCTGATTTTTTTTCCCTAGGTGGATTACTGTGACAAACACTGAATTCAGAACTCAGCCTGAAGGAACGTTTATTCTCAGATTTGAGAAAAAAATAAGGCAAAGGGGATTCCTACCAATCAAGTCAGCTTTTCAAGGTGGGTTTGCTGGCCCTGGAAAAGTATGCACAGCAAGCACAATGCTTTATATTCTCAGGGCACCCTGATCCAGTAAGGAAATTAAGGAAAAATTAAACTGCACGATTTTAGTGTAAAAGTGTTTTAAGCCATGGGGCTTGCCTTTAGGGGACTAGAAATTCTTCTTGAGTTGGGGAGGGATTTCCCTTACCTCTAGGAAGTTTATAAGTAACATAAACAATGATCTTCAACCTGTGAAAGGTCCACATAAGAGGCTGCTTGGTGACAGGTGCCATCCCTTCGGATGCCAACTACTATCTTGAAGCTACTGGAACTTAAGGCTGCCTGCAATCCAATCTTGCTCTAACAAAACACTTTCTGTGGAAATAGCCGTTGGCTTTCATAGAAATCCTAAGACTAGTGTATTCTGAGAATGACAGTAAAAGGGGGGGGGTTCATGGTTTTGTGTTTTAAGCAATAAGGTAAATAATAACACCAAATCAAAGGTTTTTTTTTGTTTGTTTTTTTAAATACACTGTAGCCATAGCTGGCCTGAAACTTGCTATGTAGACCAGGCTGGCCTTGATGTCACAGAAATCCACCTGCCTCTGCCTCCCGAGTGCTGGGATTAAAGGTGTGCATTACCACTGCCAGCTGAAACATTCTTTATTACTTAAAATGAGTTGTTATATGACCAGACCATTTCACTGTGTCATTACTAAGCAAATCACTCAGGTAAACTTTGGCAATCTGTAAATTTTTTCCCTTTGCTCTGCCTTATAAATCCATGGTCATATTATTAACATCATGGGATCATTTTTTGAATTAGGGCCAACCTGAAATCCAGTATCTCAGAAAAATGCCAAAGTCTAGCTATGTTATCGTGGCTATTATACAAATGCTAAAAATTATGTGATATTGAAATATTTTGTTGAAAGACATTAAGGTGCTTTGGCTGATGGTAGTGGCTCAAGGATGTCACTGTGCAGAACTCACCAATGAATTACACAGGTCAGCTGGATATAGATATATTAAACAGAGCCACACACTTTGAGGCACCATGGATTGCTGCAATGAGGTAGTAATGAGCTATTTATTTGAAGCAAAGAATATGAGTAACAGGAAGGAAAATGCAGCATGTAGCCAGAACTCAATTCCCTGAAGCCTTTATGTAAGAATCATTTCTGCTCACATTCTCAAATATGTTTTCCAAACAAAACGATACACTAAAACTTGATAAATTTCCCCCCCTGAAGTAGATATTGTAACAATTAGGTTGTTACAAAACAATTTGATGTGTAGTAGGAGAAAAACAGGCAACTTTGGTGTCTTCATTTAAAAAATCGTTTTGATTTTTCTACAACTCAATTAGCAGACAAACTGTCAAGGCAGAAAGAGTGCATGTTCTGGGCAAAAGAAATCAAACAAGCATAATCCACTCTAGCCATTAAATGAGGCTGTTAACAGCAAGGTCATTTACTTTGAGGGTGTAGTTACTGGATGGCATGTAGTGTAGACAGTTTTGACCACTAACTGGTATATATGGTAAAGTTTAAGAGACAGAAACAAACTAAATTTTAATTTATACCAGAAATTATTCTGTTTTAGTTAGTACGTTCCCCATAATTTTCAGCTGTTTGTTGTCTATTTTTAAAAAGCATTTATTCACTTATTTCACGTGTGTGTGTGTGTGTGTGTGTGTGTGTGTGTGTGTAGGGGGGTGTGCAGGCATATCGTGGTATGTATGTGGAGGTCAGAGGATAACTTGTGGGAGGTGGTACTCACCTTCCACCATAAGGGACTAAACTTAGGTTGTTCGGCTTGGTGGCAAGCACCTTTACATGTTGAGCCATCTTGCCACCCCTGTAGTTTGTTTTCAAGACAGGGTGCTGCTATAGGTCCCTGGCTGGTCTGGTATTGGTCTCAAACTTTCCGCAATCTTCCTACTTCAGAACCCCAAAGTGCTGGGATTACAGGCATGCCTACCATACCTGGCTAACTTTCAGATTTGTCCCATAATTTCCAAAAAATAAAGCTGTGGGGTTGGAGATGCCCTTTCATTCAAAAGCACGTGTCCTCCTGGAAAGCAGAAGATGCCTGGACAGCTAACACAATGCAGAGAAAGCTTATTGTTTAAACAAGACAAGCTTACTTTGATGGCTACCAGTGGCCATTACAGCCAAGGTGCTAAGGATTGGTACAGGGACATAAATTCCTTATTAAGTCATTCTTTAATTAATAGAGCTCAGATTTTTTTTCCTAAAAATCACATTTTGCTATATACTCTATTTAGATGGCATTGGACAAAGTGCTAGAATCTACGAGTCCATTCAATCAGCAATATGCCCTCCTTACAGAAGTGACCAGTGATGGGGCCAGTCTTAAAGCCGGAACTGGAAGTGAGAATGGAGAACTGAGGTTTCCCCGGGGCTGGCATTGTATAGCTGCTCTACACACCTTCCCCTCCAAAACTACCCCACAAAGATTAAAATCCAGAGACTCAAATTTGAGAAAATTGGCTAATGTAATTCAGCTAAGTGGCTGAGTTAGTATTTGAACCCAGTTCTGAAAGGTCTTCCCATTCCCCTAACCTCACCACCTGCTTACCAGCTGACATCTCAGGATTTGCTGCTGAGGTTCCACTGGCTCTGCCTTGGAAAATTTACTTGTTTTTAAAGAGAGTTATTTCCTTATGAGCAACTTGTGAATGTTTTTTATTTCCATAATTTATCCTGAACACAATTACATACTTCAAGATGAGAGAGAGGCTGTCCTGAATGTAAAACCCCTTGTTTACTACTGCCACCTCCTTTCTGTGCTTAGCACACTCTGCTCCCAGAGAAAGCTTTTATTACCAAGGAACAGGGGTGTTTGCCAGCACCCAGAGCTCTTGCTCCCATTGCCTGGCTGTTAATAAATAAACCACTTCATTTACACTGGGGGAAATTTTCCAGTCAAGCTCATAATAAAA